GGATTATCGTGTTCCATAACCTTCTTTCCTTCTTGGTGTGTTTTGCAGGACTTGGTTTCGAAGGCAATGATTGGTGTGGGTAAGCGACGTGGCGATCTGTATTACCTTGTGGCCCTTACCTCTTCTCTCCCCACCCGTCAACCTCTCTGCAACATCATTACCATCCCCTCCTCCCTCTGGCATAGGCGTCTTGGTCACCCCTCCTCCACTCGTTTGCAAGCTTTAGCATCTAGCTCTCTTAATTGTACTTTTGACTCTAGTCATTTTTGTGATGTTTGTCCGTTGGCAAAACAAACTCGTCAACCTTTTCTTTTGAGTTCAATTTCATCAACTTTCCCTTTTGCTTTAATTCATTGTGATATTTGGGGCCCGAATCGTCAATCTTCTCTTTCTGGTGCTCATTATTTCTTAACCATTGTGGATGATTTTTCTCGCTTTACGTGGGTCTTCCTCATGAAACATAAATCCGACACTCAACAATTAATTAAGGATTTTTTTACTTATGTCACTACCCAATTCCGCACTACCATCCAATGCATTCGTATTGACAATGGTGGTGAATTTTTATCTCTTCGTAGTTTTTTTCTCTGATCATGGGGTGCTTTTACAAACTTCTTGTGTTTATACCCCCCAACAAAATGGCGTTGTTGAAAGAAAACATCGTCATCTTCTTGAAACCGCTCGCGCCCTTCGTTTTCAATCCCATCTTCCTATCAAGTTTTGGGGGGAATGTGTTCTTACCGCTACTTATCTCATCAATCGTCTCCCTACCCGTCTTCTCCATCATAAATCCCCATTTGAGGTTCTCTTTTCGAAAACCCCATCTTATGACCACTTCCGCGTCTTTGGTTATCTGGCATATGCCACCTCTGTCACTCCCACCACCAAATTTTCTCCTCGGGCTCATCGTTGCATTTTTCTCGGTTATCCTCATGGACAAAAGGCCTATACCCTTTACGATCTCGACAATCACTGCATTTTCACTAGTCGAGACGTCATCTTTCACGAAACTACTTTCCTTTATGCCGTTTCTCACCCTCCTATCCCATCCTCTTCGCCTACCCTACCCATCCCACCCCCTCTGGACTTTACATATAACCCACCCCTTCCTGCCCCGACGCCTCACCCTCCTCCACCTTCCTCCCCTTCCACGCCTTCCACAGATTCCCTTGCTGCCCCATTACCCGTTCCTCCCCATGCCCCTTTACCCACGGACATCCCTACCCCCCCACTACCTACTAATCCTCCCCTTCCCCGCACCTTTTCCCGTGCCCATAAACCTCCATCCTATTTAAAAGACTACGTTTGCTCGCAAGTGATTCTGCCATCCCACCCATCTTCGACTTCGCAACCCGGTTCTACACAAGGTACGCGATATCCACTTTGTAATTTTCTCTCTTATCACCGTTACTCTCCTAGGCATTTTTCTTACATTAACTCTGTCAGTCGGACTGTGGAGCCTTCCTCCTTTGCCGAGGCTGCCACTGACCCCAAATGGCAACGTGCTATGACTGAGGAGCTTCAAGCTTTACATGCTAATGGTACTTGGACTTTAACTTCCTTGCCCCCTGGCAAAATTCCCATTGGTTGTAAGTGGGTGTACAAACTCAAGCACAATTCCGATGGCTTTATTGACCGCTACAAAGCTCGTTTGGTTGCTAAAGGCTTCACTCAGGCTGAAGGTATTGATTATCATGACACTTTTTCTCCTACTGCTAAGATGATTATGGTGCGTTGTCTTCTTGCTCTTACTGCTAGTCAGTCTTGGTCTCTTCATCAGCTTGATGTTAATAATGCTTTCTTACATGGTGACTTACATGAAGAAATCTATATGTCTCCTCCTCCTGGTCTTCGGCGACAGGGGGAGAATCTTGTGTGTCGCCTTCACAAGTCACTTTATGGTCTTAAGCAGGCTTCTCGCCAATGGTTTGCCAAATTCACTAGTGCCATCATTTCTGCCGGTTTTCAACAATCCAAAGCTGACTATTCATTGTTCACTAAAAAGTCTGGTATTTCTTTCACAGCTTTGCTCATTTATGTGGATGATATTGTGATTACAGGCAATGATGCTAGTGCCATTAATTCTCTGAAGTCTTTTCTCCGTGATCATTTTCGGATAAAAGGCCTTGGTGATTTAAAATATTTTTTGGGTATTGAGGTTTCTCGTTCCAAACAAGGGATTTATATTTCTCAACGGAAGTATGCATTAGAGATTCTCAAGGACTATGGTTTTTTGGGAGCACGACCCATTGCTTTTCCTATGGATGACACAAAATTATCTGATAAAGGAGAACTTCTCAAGGATCTTGAAAAGTATCGACGATTAGTAGGTCGGTTAATATATCTCACTATCACTCGGCCGGATATCACCTATTCTGTGCATATTCTAAGCTGTTTTATGCACGAGCCAAGGATATCTCATATGAATGCTGCACTTCGTATTGTTCGTTATTTGAAGGCTACTCCAGGTCAAGGTTTATTATTTCGTTCTGACAACCAGACCAAGTTAACTGCGTTTTGTGATTCTGATTGGGCAGGTTGCCCTATCACTCGCCGTTCGACTACTGGGTATTGTGTATTCTTGGGCGGTTCTTTGATTTCTTAGCGGACGAAACGACAGAAAACCGTTTCGCTCTCTTCAGCAGAGGCGGAATATAGGGCCATGGCAGGTGCTTGTTGCGAGATAGTTTGGCTTCGTTTTTTGTTGAAGGATTTGAACATTCCTTTGGATGGTCCTTCCATTTTATTTTGTGATAATCAAGCAGCGTTACATATAGCTGCCAATCCTGTTTTTCATGAACGAACTCATCACATTGAGATGGATTGTCACTTTATACGAGATAAGATTGTAGATGGCACAATAGAGACCAAGCATGTGGGTACAACACAACAGTTGGCAGGCTTGTTTACCAAACCTCTTGGGAAAGAAAAGTTTTCGGGTATGTTACGCAAGTTGGGAGTTCTTGACATCCACTCTCCAACTTGAGGGGGAGTGCTAGACAAATAAGGAATATGGTTGGAGTCCTTGTGTAATTGTATATAATATTATTCACTATTGGAACTATAAGCCGTTCTACCTTGTTCTACCTACACACTAGCCGTCCTACAGCCGTCAAGCCGTCCTACAGCCGTCCTACCTTGTCCTACCTACACACTAGCCGTCCTACAGCCGTCAAGTCATCCTACCTTGTCCTACCTACACACTAGCCGTCCTACAGCCGTCAAGTCGTCCTACAGCCGTCCTACCTTGTCCTACCTACACACTAGGACGGCTACCTTGTCCTACCTACACACTTGTATCATGTATATATATCCTTGTAATCTTGTTGAGAAAGATAATGAGAAAAAAAGCATTCTCTTCCATTTTTCCCACATTCACGTATCAATAACAAATATATTTTTTAGCCTACATACCTTTTTCTACAATGAGGTGGAAAGGCTTGGTGAGGGAGGATTTGGTGGGGTTTATCAAGGATTTATAGAAGACATGGAGTCACGTGTTGCTGTTAAAAGGGCATCAGAGGGATCTAAACAAGGTCTAAAGGCGTATACATAAGAAGTAAGGGTCATCAGACGTCAAAAGGCACCAAAATCTAGTGCAGCTCATTGGTTGGTGCCACCAAAATAGAGAGCTCCTACTTGTTTACGAGTTCATGCCCAACGGCATCTAAGATTCTCATCTATCCAAAGCTGAAAGTTGTTAACCAGCTGGGAGGCAAGATACTAAATTGCTCAAAGGCTTGGCCTGCGGGTTGCGCTATTTACATCAAGTGTGGGATAAATGTGTCCTACATGTACAGGGATATCAAATCTAGCAATGTTATGCGAAACTTGGGGGTTTTGGATTAGCTTGACTTGTGGATCACGAAAAAAAGCCACAAACAACAATTGTGGCTGGAACCAGGGGACTACATGGCTGTGGAGTATGTTATGACAGAAAAGGCTAGCAGGCAATCAGACGTCTACATGTTCGAAGTTGTTGCTTGGGAAATAGTTAGCGGGAGAAAACCCATTGATCCAAGTTTAGAAAGTAGCATAATTGAAATGGTTGAGTGGGTAATTGGGACCCTTTTAGAGAAGGGAAAGCAGCTGACCCGAAATTGTGTGGAGATTTCGATGAGAAACAAATATAGTGCCTGATGATTGTTGGGTTATGGTGTGCGCATGCTGATTATAATTTTAGACCTTCAATACAACAAGCGATTCAAGTGCTTAACTTCGAAGTTCCGTTGCCCATTCTCCCATCAGAGATGCCGGTGGCCATATATTTTACCTTCTCCAGTATTATTCTCAATGTTGTACCTAGTGATAGTATTGCTGGCTCTGAAGGTCATACTAAGTGTTCAGCCAACACTTACAGGATTAGTTCTTTGTAGGACATTGTATATCTTGCTCAATAACTTCTTTTCAGTTCCATCACTTTGGTAAGTGAATTGGTGTAATTTAATCAAATATGATAATACCCATTTGGAAATGTTTCTATGGTAAGAATGTCCTTACTGAAAAGTGCGTAATTTGATGATCGAAAACGTTTAGTTCTCGTTTTAATTTTGAAGTTCTCTTTCAAGAATTATCCATGTTAAAAAGGTTTTAATCAGTAATTGTTTAGCCAATTGATTATTCGCCTTTTCATTTCAATTTTATCTAACAAACCTTGTTTTTCTTCCATTTTAAATTACTTAACGCACTATCAAGATCGATCTTGATAGTGTGTTCGACCTCACATTTATATGTGGAGGATCTAGCGGTGGCAATTTGTGTATGCATGTTGAGTAAGTGTCCACACGAGCATGATTAGGGCTAACTTAAGTACAACACAATTATGAGTTGGACGATTTTTCCAAACCTAAACATGGCACAATTATTAAACATGTTAAATATTGATATGATAGTAACCCGTTCGATGTTTATAAGTGCAAAGTTGTCCACAATTTATAATATACAAGGAAAATTTTATTTGACTCGAAATTTTTTTTGCTCATATAACCTCTTTATATGAGTTCAAATAAGATTTTCTAATAAATAATCAAAAAAAATTTATTTTGTGGTAAGTGGTTTGTTGCTTTATTTATGAGAAATTTTACTTTACACTCGAGATCCCATGTTCAAATCCAAATATCCTATCCTATGTGAAAATACAAAAGGCAACAAACAAAAGCACAAAACGAAGAAAAAGCCTCGGTTTAGGAGGGAGTAGGGAGTAAAAAAAAAAAAAAGGAAAAAAAAAGAGGCATGAAGTTCACCGACTCACCAGTGATAGAGCTGCCGGTGCGCGACGCCCTCCTTTCCCTCCAACAAGACAACGGCTCCTTCCACGTCGGCACCTCCGTCTGGCCCTGCTCCTTAGTCCTCGTCAAGTTCGCCGAGCGCTGGGCCCCACCCAACCCCAACAACCCCTACTCCGCCCTCCTCGACTTCCACGGCAAGCGCGCCGTCGAGCTCGGCGCCGGATGCGGGGCTGCCGGCATGGGCCTGTACCTCCTCGGCCTGACCGACCTCGTCCTCACAGATATTCCCGCGGTCATGCCCGCACTGAAGCACAACCTCAAGCGCAACAAGCCGGTCCTGGGGAAAACGATCAAGCACGCCATCGTGCACTGGAACAAGGCGGCCGATCAGGCCAAGTCCCTGAGTCCGCCGTACGACGTCGTGGTGGCGACCGACGTTGTCTACATCGAGGAGACTGTGGGCCCGCTCGTGTCCACCATGGAGGCGCTTGTTAAGGACGACGGGGTTGTTTTGCTTGGGTACCAAGTGAGGTCCCCGGAAGCACACCAACTGTTCTGGGAAATGTGTGAGAGAGTTTTTTCGATCGAGAAAGTTCCTCATGAGGATTTGCACCCGGATTATGCATACGAAGAGGCCAATGTGTTCGTCTTGCGCAAGAAACAAAGAGGAGAACTCGCTCATCAGATTAGTCCTCTTGAATCCTGAGTGCAGGTTTTTGGTTTTCGGATTTCGGTTCTTCTGTATTGGCAAAAGATATTGTGCAAGTTTGTGTGGATTATTCCTGTGTGTTTTTGTAAAATAACTGCTCGATTTTTCTACAATGTACCGGTAAATGGGTACATTGGACGGCTGAATTTGCGTGTCTAGATTTTGACGGTCTCAATCAAGCCGTTCAAACACCGGTGCATGTTAGAAAGCTACGCTGCTACTTGATGCTGTTGTTGTCTATAAATGCAGTTGTCTGAAAACACAGTACTTGTAAATTTGCTTACCAAATGATCATGGGATTAGTACTCTGGGGAGCCCCAAGCTAAAACTTGTTTGATCAAATCAAATTTTCACTAATAACTTACACTCATATATAATCGGAGAATTCCTAGCGTAGCAATTGAAACGATAGAAAAAAGATAGCCGAGCTTATCATTCGATGGTGGTGGAACATCGGAAAGATGAAAAATCAGAAGCCCGGCCCCCTAATCCATCCTCCATTCTCTCTCGCTTCATCTCCTCTCATTTTTCTATTCATCATGGCGGTGCGCAGCCTCAATACAAAGCAGACTGCGAGAAAGATTGTGTACAGGTGAGATTCAGAAGCATTAGAGCTAGTCAACCTCGAGAGTGACATTGAAGGAGGAGTTGACATTGAAGGAGATGTTGGAAAAATTGGCTTGTTTGATGGGAGAATTGGCAATGGAAGTTCGAAGTTAAGCGCTCGAATTGCTTCTTGAATTGAAGGTCTTGAACTGTCACACGGATGAGCACACCACAATCCGACAATCATCAGGCACTCCATCTGCTTCTCATCAAAATTCCTACACAATTTTGGGTCAGCTGCTTCTGTGACTTTCCCTTCTTCATAAAGCTCCCAAACCCATTCCACCATATCGATTTTACTCCTTTCTGCCTGGCGATCAATGGGTTTTCTCCCGCAGGCTATTTCCAAAGCAACAACTCCGAAGCTGTAGACATCTGTTTTCTTGGAATATTTACCGTCTACAAATAATTCAGGAGCCATGTAGCCATAGGTTCCGGCAATAAAAGTGTCTATTCCTTCTTCGTGGTCCAGAAGCTTTGCTAACCCAAACCCCCCTAGTTTAGGGTTGAAATTTGAATCCAACATAACGTTCCTGGATTTGACATCCCTATGCAGCACAAAATGTTCCAATTCTTGTTGTAGATAGAGCAACCCGGAGGCTAAGCCTTGAGCAATTTTGTATCGTACCTCCCAAACTAACAAGCTTTCTTCTTCAAACAAATGAGCATCTAACCTACCGTTGGGCATGAACTCGAAAGCCAGTAGGAGTTGTCTCTTTTCGTGGCACCAACCGATGAGTTGCATCAGATTCCGATGCCTAAGTCGACTGATGATCCTCACTTCTGATACAACTTCCTTGAGCACCGATTCAGCTATTACTGGTATCTTCTTAACAGCAGCGTAGGAGTCCAAGTCTTTTAGGTAGCCCTTGTAAACCACCCCAAAGTTTCCCTCTCCAAGCTTTTCTCTCTCACTAAAATGTCCTGTCGCGGAAGCCAATTCGCTGTGCGAAAACTGCCTGGGGCCGCCGCCAATCACCTTCTGTAACTGGTCAACCAAGTCATAAGGACTCATAAGGTTTGTATCAGTCCTTTCTCTGACTATCCTTTTCTTGCACGAGTTGAACACACCCAAACCCACGACACAGATCAAGATGAATCCCCCACTACCAGTAGTACTACCGATAATCACCGCCAGAGATTTCTTGCGTTTTCTTGACTTGGCTTTAGAACTATGGCCTGGCGTCGGAACTGGAGATTCTTGCTTTTTTTGTTCCCCCGAAAGAGTTAGAGATTCATCATCAACCAGAGTAGAAGTGAAAGTCCACGCGGTGATGTGCAGAGCAGAAGAAGCACCTGTTGAAGCAGAAAAGCCAACGATGACCCAATCCGGCAAGCATTTATTCAGAGCAACCATGTAACTGAGAGAATCAACTACTTGCTCGTGGGTATCATTGGCATAATTGGTGAAGGAAACACTAAGGTTTTTCGAGTTTGAATTATAACGAATCCAAGCATGACTAAGTTTTCCTTCCAGAATTCCACTATTCCAAGGCCTGGTAATATTAGACTTGACAGAGTTGATGTCAATCCCCACACGACCGCCGTCTGGATCCTCCACTGTTGGCCTGTGGATATCAAACTCCACTGCCACAAACGGGTACTCATTTCTTGGCTCAGTAACATTTTCCACGGAGCTGTTGACAGGGAGGCCCATACTGCTACCTACTCCAAGTGCTCGGTTGAGTAAGGATCCATTTGGCGCTAAGAAGAAGGCCAGCCCCTCGACATAGGAGGGGGTGGTACTGTTTTTAGTATCAATCATGAACGTGAAACTTGTCTTGAAATCAGTAAGTTTTCCTGTATTATTGTCCCGGAGCAGGAAGGATTCGCTGTAGGTAGCACGGCCAACACTTCCATTAGCTTTATTTGTTTCCCCACCCAGGCTGCCTTCAGTGAGGCAAATGGATTGGTTGCCGATAACAGCATCTCCCTCGGTAACTAATTTTTTCAACTCTTCCGTACTGTTGGTGTGATCACTTTGTCGGAAAGTGGGAAATTCGAAAGATAAGGGAGCTGCACAAGGGATTAACAGCAGGAGGAGAATAACAAGGAAGTGATGATCAAGCTTCGGTGAGAGGAGTGTGATGATAGCCAAATCATGGGCAGCCATTTTTTGTTTTGGTGGGAAAGAAAAACACTGGCGCTGATGAGACGAGAGATGCTCTCTTGTCACCAATTCACCACGAGACAAGTGAGCGGGCTGGAGAAACTGTCGTCTAAAATAGAGAAGCAGATGATTGCAGATTGAAATTTCCAGTTGGAAATATATAGAGAAGTTTGATGGGAAAGGACTTGAAGACCTGGGCGACCGACTGTAGTGAGTGAAAGTGTTCCGAAACCAGCAGTTGGGGTCATCAACTATGTCATGTCGTGCGAAGTTGGCTTGCAAGTTTCAACGCGTTCAGCCCGTTACCCTGAAAGGATAAAACTACATCTTGGAAACTTCTTAAAAAGGGGCTTTTGATTTTCTTGAGTTTTTTATTTCAGCCCGTTACCTTGAAAACACGAAACTACATTTCCTAATAGCTATATGATCATTTTTTCCAGATTTTGTCAATATATTATTTATATTTAATCAGTACTTCAGTAGTGTTGTCAATATTTGATTAATATGTCATCGTTATTTGATTTTAATCATTGAAATTTGTAAAGGGAATTGTTATTAGCATTTCAAAAATCTCATTTTGCACTCCAAACTTTCTATATTAGGAAAAAAAATATACTTATAAAGAGTGTAGAATGAGATTTTTGGAGTGTCAATAACACTTCCCTTTGTAAAATTATCATTTTTGCCATTTTCTCAAGAATATTGAACGGGAAACCTCATGAACCAAATTGATGATAGGTTAACAGAAGAATCAAATTGATGACAGGTTAACAGAAGAACCAAATTGATTTGTGAGACCCATTTCAGAGACCAAATGGACAGATTTTCTATTTCATAGATCTTTTTTATTGAAAGGTCCAACTTGAGGGACCAAACTTGACAAAATATAACCCTCATATAATCTGAATATTCAGACGGAAAGCCAAATACCATTGTAGTTTTGGCTTTGGCATGTGGTAGTAAATATACAATGAATTGCAATCATGAGATTACATAGTTTATACAAATTATAACGCCAGTTTTGAAGCTAATATGAACCACCATTCTACGGCTTTTCACAATTAAGGCCCAGAGGTCGAATTTTTGCAATATTGAGACATTAAATTGAGGAGCAAAATAGATAAACCAAACCAGGAGTACTATCACGGGACAACATGAGAGACATTCAACTGAGGCGCAAAATATGGTGCCATTGGCATGGGCATTATTGATGGGAGAATGGGCAATGGAACTTCAAAGTTAAGCACTTGAATCGCTTGCTGTATCGATGGCCTCATATTGTAATTTGGGTGAGCACACCACAACCCAACAATCATCAAGCACGCCATTTGCTTCGCATCAAAACCTCCGCATAGTTTCGGATCAGCTGCTTCAAGGACTTTCCCTTCTCCATAAAGCTCCCACACCCAATCCACCATATGCTGGTTTCAATAATTTCAAACTTAGAGAAATCGATGGGTTATCTCCCGCAAGCTACCTCCAAAGCAACAACTCCAAAGCTATAAACATCAAATTCCTTGCTAGCCTTGCCTGTGGATACATATTCTGGAGCCACCTAGCCCATAGTTCCAGCTAGAGTAGTTGTTTTCGATTGCTTTCCGTGGTCCACAAGTCGAGCTAATCCAAAGTCTCCAAGTTTCGCTGTGAAATTTGTTGGAGTATGAGACCCTCTTGTCCCACATTGGTCAACAATATTTTTTCACTAGCCTTTATATAGGCTTATTCCTTTTTCTTAGTAATTAGAACTTGGACCATTTGGAAATGGATTGAAGGCTTAGGCCTTATGGTTGTGTGGATTAGGCTTGATGACTATACTATAATATTAATATTAATTAATATTAATTAATCAAGACAAGGGCCTTGGGGCCAAAGAATTAAAATTAATCTGATCAATTAGTTTTAATTAAATTAATTAAAAACATTTTGATTAATAGACACAACTCTTTGGAAAGAGTTGTATCTTTTTGGAAAGAGCTGTATAGCTTCAGATACATCTAAAAGGTGTTTGAAGAGGTATGAAAGAGCCTATATAACTGGAGTTCTCATTTCCATCAATCATTATCTTTTTCTTCTCCTTTGTCTTCCGTACAAAATTTTCAGAGAGTAAACACACAAAGCAATTCGCTAGAGTTCTATAATCCAGTGCGGGTTGTAGAATTAGATAGTTGTATCCTGGTCGAACAGACGTTGTAGAACCACAAGCACACGAGTGGGACGGAAATACTGTTCGAAAGACATAGCGTTTGCGCTAGCCTCTACCTTCAATTCATTCAAGTTAGTATCATATTAATTTTTGTAATTATTGTGTTATTGCATTCTGTATTGCAAGTATTTGTGAATAATAAAGTATAAGTATTTTAGTTTTGTACATCTGTTATTTTATTGTTTCTAAATTGTTCTCCAACAAAATTAGCATCCAACACAACATTGCTGGATTTGATATCCCTATTAAGCAGACATTGTTCCCATCCTTGGTGTAGATAGAACAAACCACACGCTAAACCTTGCATAATTTTGTATCTTACCTCCCAAACCAACAAGGCTTTAGCCCTGAAAAGATGGAAATCTAAACTGCCGTTTGGCACGAACTCATAAACAAGTAGAAGCTCTCTTTTTTTCGTGGCACCAACCAATGAGTTGCACTAGGTTCCGATGCTTAAATCGACTTATGACGGTTACTTCTGATGCGTACTCCTTCAACCCTTGTCTCGACCGCTTAGACATCCTCTCAACCGCACATATGAGTTCAAGTCTTTTATGAAGCCTTTATAAACCCCACCAAATCCCCCCTCTCCAAGCTTTTCTCTCTCCGCAAAGTTACTTGTCGCACGAGCCAACTTGTTATAGGAAAACTTCCTCGGGCCAGTTTGCTTTTCGAAATCATTGTCAATCGAGTCCATGTTTGCCATAGTACGTTCATCAATGTTTTCTCCTCTTTTCCACATCTTCCTCAAGATGAACCAAACAAAACCAAACGCACCAACCAACACAAAACCCCCGCCAGCACCCAGTGCAACGAACATTAGTATACTATTAGAAGTTGCGTTTGTATTAGTTTCATAATCATGTAGATAAGTGGAGTTAAAATCCCATGAGAGGATCTTATGCAAAGCAAAAGCAACACCTGAGGTTGCCATGGAGGCGAGAATCCGGCAATGACCAGATCGGGCAAGTACTGAGTCAGATTGACTTTGTGATAAATAGAAATCAATACTTGACTGCCATTTACCAAACTAGTGAAGGTAACGCTAAGACTTTTTCAGGTAGAATTGTAACCATAATTTCAGCACTATTTTATTTTTCCTTCCAAAATTCCACCGTTCCAAGGCTTGAATATTTTTTGGGACTTGAGCGAGTTAATGTCTATACCCACATGATCCCCTTCAGGATCATCCATGCTTTCGTCCTTGTCTGTGTAGATATCAAACTCCACTGCGCCAAATGGGTACCGTGAACTCCTTGGCGTGTCTCCCGGCTGGTTCTTCACGGGGAGGCCAGACTGCCGCCCATTACTAGCGTGCGGTTGAATATGGACCCGTTTGGCGCTAGGAAGAACATGAGGCCGTCTGCATAGGGGGTTTTGTTTTGGGAATCAATGACGAATCTGAAATGTGTGGTGAAATCAGCTAGTTTTCCAGTGGTGGATTCCCGAAGGAGGAAGCTGGTGGTAGGTGGCTCGAATTTTAAAATATTTGCACGACAAAGATTTATAAAACATCTTCGTACAAATCTGTAAATTTAATTTACTTTTTGGTTTAAATAATTAAATAATTTTTTAAAATTAATTTTGTTACAAATTTTTTAAAAGAAACTTTTGTTTGTATACAAAATAAATACCATTCAATACATATCATTACATTTACATCACAATTTTTCATTAATCCTTGTCTGAATTAGAATAAACTAGCAATGGTGCCCGCGCGTTGTTGCGGGATTGAAAATTATATGTACAACATATTTACAATCCTATTTACACATAATATCCTAATCAGCATTTAATTGAAATGAATAATTAGTGACTTACTCCGTAAGGACCGAGTACTTTTCACTTAGCCTAGAGTAATGGCCTGCATGAGGAAAGCTGAAGATGGTGACATCGAATTTCTTCCATTGGAGACAGGATGGATGTCCATCTCATGCACATCAACTTCATGCAACACCAAGAACTCCATCCCCGTTTGCTCTTCTAAATATGACCAACTGGTCCAATGTTTTACCTACAAAGAACTTAGAACATCAAATCAATTAATCTTGAACCACATTAAAGAAATTTAAACACCAAAATTTAATTTGTAGCCCAAAAAACCAGAGGAACGGTAATCGTGACATTTGATGAGTATATATATGAAAAATGTACCTGAAGATTGAAACTTTCATCAAATAAATCACAAAAAAGCAGAAAATTAGAGAAACCCAAAATTATAAATTGCATAAAATTAGATAATCCATTTCAGTCATGCGTAAATACACCATCACACGTAACAAATTTGCCTATATGACAGTGATACACAATGTAATTGTTCAGATTCAAACCACACACAAAGCACTTGCAGCTCCCAAGTATACGTGTATCACATTCTAATGTTTGCTTGTTGACTTTACCCCTGGAGTCCTGACTAATGTGATCTCCTTCAGTGGTGCATGCACTTTTTTCTCCAAAGTTGCTTCCTTAAACATCCCTCTTTCCTAAAAAAAAAAGACCCAAAACATATCATATTAAGCATCAACGCTATTAATATTTTTAAAGAAATTGGTCACAACAGGTTTCACATACATCAGTTCTAAACCTAAAAGGCTTTAGATTTTTAGGCTTTGGTTCCCCATGAGCATTGCTGGCAACAGATGTGGAGTTTTCTTTCTGAATCTTATGTGCTTGATTGACCTGCATCATTGTTCAAGCGTTAACACATAAAAAACCATAAGGGAGAAATGAACAAACATAAACACTATATAGATACGTTATTCTCATATACTTTGTAGCCTTCTTCAAGGCCTGGAATTATACAACTATTTTTTCCACTAATAGCTCTTATTTACATCTTTACTGGATTTGCATCACTTGGTTTATATTAATAAAATTAGAGGATTGCACATGCTTCTTTATGGACGCCAAAACATTTTTTTTTTTTTTCAATTATTCTAGTTCCTTGTGGTTGAATGGGATTCTAAGCTTCAGATTTCGAAAACAGAGAATTTTGAAAAACCTCAGAGTCAGCACCAATGAGCTTAAACAGAACAGATGAGAGCTATTGAGATAGAGCTAAGCTACTTCAACACTTCCATAAGTCCACGTCTCCACCCAAGCCTAGACATCCCAACATTGCCCAGATAGGTGTCCCACCTTGACCTGCAAGATTTACACAGAATTGCAAAGTTGGAAGAGGTTTAAGCATGAACAGATTGTAAAACGCAAAACTTTATAGCAGCAAATTGGGTTGCAAGCGAGAAATAACCATCATGAATAAAAAGTGGGTACACAAAATTGGGAAGAGATAAGCTTGTTTCCTGAAACGCAGCTATGAGTGACGGTGATCAATCTCTCCATTTTTTACACAATTAAACTCGAACCTGTGGATAACCGAGGTTTGGAATCCTACTGAAATCAGGAATAGGCCATTGTAAGTTCGTCAAACTCCTGAAAGAAACAACAAAAACACAAAGATATTCAATCTTGACATGATTCATTGTGTTAAATATTAAGAGCTACTTCTCAATTGTCATTCCAAACAACCAGCACCATCACCTAATGTGATATAACATCAGACAGAAACGGGAGATGTTCCCTGCACAGTGGTTGGAAATATGAGTTTACCAACAAAAACTATGATTCCCTCTATTGTTGCTATGATTAATCACAAATCTTTTGGATTTACACCTCCGTAGTTGGAGCTTTAAATCTGATGTATGAATAAATAGAAATTGTAGTCCTTAGATCACACAATTTTACCTTTAGACTTACTAAAAGACAGAATCAGAAGCAGCACTTACAACTTGAACGGTTTAGACATGTTGCTATACAAATCTGGAATTGTAGTCCCACCAAAGTTGTTGTTGTCAACTTGACTGCAAAACAAATAAGATTATAGGGCTAAGAAACTTGATACGGGATTGCATCCCTCAAATTATGTTGTAGAAAAAGGAAAGTCTAGAGAATTGTTCCCAACAGTACCAAAATTCAGGAAAGGATGAAAACATAATTAAGGCACAAATTTATGTTCCGAAGTAAGAAAACATACAGTATTAATAAGCTTGGCAACTCCGAGAACTATGGCGGAAGATACCCAGATAAATTGTTGTTGTCAAGAAGACTGCAAAAAGGTATTGGTCTGTAATGTGATTTGTTTTCTTTTCAGTAGACATCTGATTAGAGTTAGAGTTTTTTCTTCTTTTTTTACTTCACATTAGACTATAGGGGTTGATCTATGACATCTACCAACTGATAATATATGCATGCTCTAACGCAAGAATAAAATAAGAACATACGGTGTTGTGAGCTGCAAAGCCACCATACTGCTGCGCAAGAGCATCTCTCATGCTTTGGTACATGTCTATTCGAGCTGCAGCAACAGTGCTATCAGGATTACACAACAATAATTATTTGAATATTAGAAAGAAATCAAACAAACAAAAGAGGAGAAATATTTGATGACCAAACAATCGTCAATTTCTTCAGCCATTAAATAAACCTTCTTCGACTGTTTAAGGTCACAATCAAAAAAGCAAACCCTTGATAGAGTTTTAGGCAACAATAATCAAGAGGAAACCAAATAAAAAAAATTGGAGATTTTTAAGAACCAAAAACTCTGCAATCAAACAAAATATATTCCACAAAAAGAGTTTAGAGAGAAAAAAAAGAGGAGAGTGAAGAGGCTTACCATCCTTCAATGCAACCAGAACTTGCAGATAAAATCACGCCAAAAAAACCCACAAATTTAACGAAAATTTGAGCACAACCCAGAAATTTAAGTTAAAAAAATCTACGAATGGATTTTCAACTTTCTCCTTGTGGGAGTCCATTGACTTTCAGCCTCCACCTTCTTCTCCTCAGACTCTACAAATGCAAATAGACAAAGATAAAAATCATTAGACTCAAACGTAGGCGTAGTCATATTGGCTACAGCGGATACGCATCCCTATGCACCCGAGTTCAAACACCCTACTTGCAACCGCATATTAGATTAGTTTAAAGCAGAACATCCCTTGTATCAAAAATTAAAATAAAATAAAAAAAAAAAAACATAAAACCATCACTAATACCATTTCTTTCTTTAGTTTCGAACTTCGAAGTTTTTCAATTTGGGTTTGCTTCCTAAGAGTCTAAGACCATAAAGAACGTCAGCTATCTCAATCTCAATGTCCTCATCTTCTTCTACAGGCCTGAAAATTTTGAGGATTTCAAAATACCAATCTTAAGTCCATTTGATTCCTAAAAAAATATGAATTCATAAGCTAAAAAATCTCAAAACTTTCCAAAAACTTCTTCAAAAATCATTTTTCGAAAACATAGTACCAACTGACCATCGTCTTCCTTGATGAAAATTAAGAGGGCAAAGGCGACGTAGCTTTGAAGCTCAGTTGCTGAAGACTCTTCCTCCCCAACTCCTCCATAACTCCTAGAAGAGAAATTTAAAAATAAATAAATATCAAATTTAAAAACGAAATCCAAAAACAGAGCAAACAGGTTGGGTCACTCTCGAGTTTGGGTGCGAGCTTATCCTTAACCTTCTCGAGTTTTCATAAAATATACTACCTGATTACCTGCTATTGGAAACAAATAATAAATATACAGGGAATTTTAAAATAATTCAACTGCATGCAATTTAATCGAAATTTGTAAAGAAAAAAAAATAACTCAAAATATTAGTAAAATTAAGAAGAAAAATTATTAACCACACAACCAAATTTAATAAAAATAAATTGCTGAAATTAAAACCCAAATTCCATAAATAAAGAAAAATGGAACCTTTATATGGAAATTGAAGCTTTACCTGCAGATCGGCAACAGCGGCAGGTACCTAAAGAGTGAAAGAGACAGAGCTGAAGATGCGTGAGAGAACAGAGGGAGGAGTGTCTTGCGATCCATGGCTTTGTGTAAAGCTTGAAGACCTTGTAGAAATACACGCGGTACTCGTGCCTGAACAAATTAAAAAATTTGAAATTAAGAAATAGTTGTTTGGAAATTAGGGTTTAGGATGAGAAATGGGGAGAATTTGAAGAACCTCTGCTGCAATGGTAATAGGGGAGCTCTTTGATTTTAAAGAATCACAGGGAAGCTCTCCCCTACTACAGAATTAAATTTTCGCCCTCAAATATGGTGTAATTTGAGACCAGTAGAATCGCTTCAACTGAAATTTAAAAGCTACTGAGAGCGATAGAAGCAGATTTTCGTGACTGAGATCGCAAGGTCGGAGAGCGAGAGAAGGTAGCGTTGGAGAGCGAGAGAGACAGAAGCAGAGAATTGTGAGAGAAAGAAATCCGAAAACGGAACGGAAGGAAAAAGTCGAGAAGAAAAGTGGAAGCAGTCGACGCACAGCGATGATTGTGCACCCGGATTATGCGTACGAAGAGGCCAATGTGTTCGTCTTGCGCAAGAAACAAAGAGGAGATCTCGCTCATCAGATGAGTCCTCTTGAATCCTGAGTGCAGGTTTTTGGTTTTCGGATTTCGGTTCTTCTGTATTGTTATCTGCAAAAGATATTGTGCAAGTTTGTGTGGATTATTCTTGTGTGTTTTTGTAAAATAACTGCTCGAAAATTCTACAATGTACCGGTATATGGGTACATTGGACGGCTGAATTTGCGTGTCTAGATTTTGACGGTCTCAATCAAGCCGTTCATACACCGGTGCATGTTAGAAAGCTACACTGCTACTTGATGCTGTTGTTGTCTATAAATGCAGTTGTCTGAAAACACAGTACTTGTAAATTTGCTTACCAAATGATCATGGGATTAGTACTCTAGGGAGCCCCAAGCTAAAACTTGTTTGATCAAATCAAATTTTCACTAATAACTTACACTCATATATAATCGGAGAATTCCTAGCGTAGCAATTGAAACGATAGAAAAAAGATAGCCGAGCTTATCATTCGATGGTGGTGGAACATCGGAAAGATGAAAAATCAGAAGCCCGGCTCCCTAATCCATCCTCCATTCTCTCTCGCTTCATCTCCTCTCATTTTTCTATTCATCATGGCGGTGCGCAGCCTCAATACAAAGCAGACTGCGAGAAAGATTGTGTACAGGTGAGATTCAGAAGCATTAGTGCTAGTCAACCTTGAGAGTGACATTGAAGGAGGAGTTGACATTGAAGGAGATGATGGAAAAATTGGCTTGTTTGATGGGAGAATTGGCAATGGAAGTTCGAAGTTAAGCGCCCGAATTGCTTCTTGAATTGAAGGTCTTGAACTGTCACACGGATGAGCACACCACAATCCGACAATCATCAAGCACTCCATCTGCTTCTCATCAAAATTCCTACACAATTTTGGGTCAGCTGCTTCTGTGACTTTCCCTTCTTCATAAAGCTCCCAAACCCATTCCACCATATCGATTTTACTCCTTTCTGCCTGGCGATCAATGGGTTTTCTCCCGCAGGCTATTTCCAAAGCAACAACTCCGAAGCTGTAGACATCTGTTTTCTTGGAATATTTACCGTCTACAATGAATTCAGGAGCCATGTAGCCATAGGTTCCGGCAATAAAAGTGTCTATTCCTTCTTCGTGGTCCAGAAGCTTTGCTAACCCAAACCCCCCTAGTTTAGGGTTGAAATTTGAATCCAACATAACGTTCCTGGATTTGACATCCCTATGCAGCACAAAATGTTCCAAATCTTGTTGTAGATAGAGCAACCCGGAGGCTAAGCCTTGAGCAATTTTGTATCGGACCTCCCAAACTAACGAGCTTTCTTCTTCAAACAAATGAGCATCTAACCTACCGTTGGGCATGAACTCGAAAGCCAGTAGGAGTTGTCTTTTTCGTGGCACCAACCGATGAGTTGCATCAGATTCCGATGCCTAAGTCGACTGATGATCCTCACTTCTGATACAACTTCCTTGAGCACCGATTCAGCTATTACTGGTATCTTCTTAACAGCAGCGTAGGAGTCCAAGTCTTTTAGGTAGCCCTTGTAAACCACCCCAAAGTTTCCCTCTCCAAGCTTTTCTCTCTCACTAAAATGTCCTGTCGCGGAAGCCAATTCGCTGTACAAAATCTGCCTGGGGCCGCCAATCACCTTCTGTAACTGGTCAACCAAGTCATAAGGACTCATAAGGTTTGTATCAGTCCTTTCTCTGACTATCCTTTTCTTGCACGAGTTGAACACACCCAAACCCACGACACAGATCAAGATGAATCCACCACTACCAGTAGTACTACCGATAATCACCGCCAGAGATTTCTTGCGTTTTCTTGACTTGGCTTTAGAACTATGGCCTGGCGTGGGAACTGGAGATTCTTGCTTTTTTTGTTCCCCCGAAAGAGTTAGAGATTCATCATCAACCAGAGTAGAAGTGAAATTCCACGCGGTGATGTGCAGAGCAGAAGAAGCACCTGTTGAAGCAGAAAAGCCAACGATGACCCAATCCGGCAAGCATTTATTCAGATCAACCATGTAACTGAGAGAATCAACTACTTGCTCGTGGGTATCATTGGCATAATTGGTGAAGGAAACACCAAGGTTTTTCGAGTTTGAATTATAACGAATCCAAGCACGACTAAGTTTTCCTTCCAGAATTCCACTATTCCAAGGCCTGGAAATATTAGACTTGACAGAGTTGATGTCAATCCCCACACGACCGCCGTCCGGATCCTCCACAGTTGGCCTGTGGATATCAAACTTCACTGCCACAAACGGGTACTCATTTCTTGGCTCAGTAACATTTTCCACGGAGCTGTTGACAGGGAGGCCCATACTGCTACCTACTCCAAGTGCTCGGTTGAGTAAGGATCCATTTGGCGCTAAGAAGAAGGCCAGCCCCTCGACATAGGAGGGGGTGGCACTGTTTTTCGTATCAATCATGAACGTGAAACTTGTGTTGAAATCAGCAAGTTTTCCTGTATTATTGTCCCGGAGCAGGAAGGATTCGCTGTAGGTAGCACGGCCAACACTTCCATTAGCTTTATTTGTTTCCCCACCCAGGCTGCCTTCAGTGAGGCAAATGGATTGGTTGCCGATAACAGCATCTCCCTCGGTAACTAATTTTTTCAACTCTTCCGTACTGTTGGTGTGATCACTTTGTCGGAAAGTGGGAAATTCGAAAGATAAGGGAGCTGCACAAGGGATTAACAGCAGGAGGAGAATAACAAGGAAGTGATGATCAAGCTTCGGTGAGAGGAGTGCGATGATAGCCAAATCATGGGCAGCCATTTTGTGTTTTGGTGGGAAAGAAAAACACTGGCGCTGATGAGACGAGAGATGCTCTCTTGTCACCAATTCACCACGAGACAAGTGAGCGGGCTGGAGAAACTGTCGTCTAAAATAGAGAAGCAGATGATTGCAGATTGAAATTTCCAGTTGGAAATATATAGAGAAGTTTCATGGGAAAGGACTTGAAGACCTGGGCGACCGACTGTAGTGAGTGAAAGTGTTCCGAAACCAGCAGTTGGGGTCATCAACTATGTCATGTCGTGCGAAGTTGGCTTGCAAGTTTCAACGCGTTCAGCCCGTTACCCTGAAAGGATAAAACTACATCTTGGAAACTTCTTAAAAAGGGGCTTTTGATTTTCTTGAGTTTTTTATTTCAGCCCGTTACCTTGAAAACACGAAACTACATTTCCTAATTGCTATATGATCATTTTTCCAGATTTTGTCAATATATTATTTATATTTAATCAGTACTTCAGTAGTGTTGTCAATATTTGATTAATATGTCATTGTTATTTGATTTTAATCATTGAAATTTGTAAAGGGAATTGTTATTAGCATTTCAAAAATCTCATTTTGCACTCCAAACTTTCTATATTAGGAAAAAAAAATATACTTATAAAGAGTGTAGAATGAGATTTTTGGAGTGTCAATAACACTTCCCTTTGTAAAATTATCATTTTTGCCATTTTCTCAAGAATATTGAACGGGAAACCTCATGAACCAAATTGATGATAGGTTAACAGAAGAATCAAATTGATGACAGGTTAACAGAAGAACCAAATTGATTTGTGAGACCCATTTCAGAGACCAAATGGACAGATTTTCTATTTCATAGATCTTTTTTATTGAAAGGTCCAACTTGAGGGACCAAACTTGACAAAATATAACCCTCATATAATCTGAATATTCAGACGGAAAGCCAAATACCATTGTAGTTTTGGCTTTGGCATGTGGTAGTAAATATACAATGAATTGCAATCATGAGATTACATAGTTTACACAAATTATAACGCCAGTTTTGAAGGTAATATGAACCACCATTCTATGGCTTTTCACAATTAAGGCCCAGAGCTCGAATTTTTGCAATATTGAGACATATTAAATTAAGGAGCAAAATAGATAAACCAAACCAGGAGTACTATCACGGGAGAACATGAGAGACATTCAACTAAGGCGCAAAATATGGTGCCATTGGCATGGGCATTATTGATGGGAGAATGGGCAATGAAACTTCAAAGTTAAGCACTTGAATCGCTTGCTGTATCGATGGCCTCATATTGTAATTTGGGTGAGCACACCACAACCCAACAATCATCAAGCACGCCATTTGCTTCGCATCAAAACCTCCGCATAGTTTCGGATCAGCTGCTTCAAGGACTTTCCCTTCTCCATAAAGCTCCCACACCCACTCCACCATATACTGGTTTCAATAATTTCAAACTTAGAGAAATTGATGGGTTATCTCCCGCAGGCTACCTCCAAAGCAACAACTCCAAAGCTATAAACATCAAATTCCTTGCTAGCCTTGCCTGTGGATACATATTCCGGAGCCACGTAGCCCTTAGTTCCTGCTAGAGTAGTTGTTTTCGATTGCTTTCCGTGGTCCACAAGTCGAGCTAATCCAAAGTCTCCAAGTTTCACTGTGAAATTAACATCCAACATAACATTGCTGGATTTGATATCCCTATTAAGCACACATTGTTCCCATCCTTGGTGTAGATAGAACAAACCACACGCTAAACCTTCCACAATTTTGTATCTTACCTCCCAAACCAAAAAGGCTTTAGCCCTGAAAAGATGGAAATCTAAACTGCCGTTTGGCATGAACTCGTAAACAAGTAGAAGCTCTCTTTTTTTCGTGGCACCAACCAATGAGTTGCACTAGGTTCCGATGCTTAAATCGACTTATGACTGTTACTTCTGATGCGTACTCCTTCAGCCCTTGTCTAGACCGCTTAGATATCCTCTTAGCCGCACATATGACTTCAAGTCTTTTATGAAGCCTTTATAAACCCCACCAAATCCTCCCTCTCCAAGCTTTTCTCTCTCCGCAAAGTTACTTGTCGCACGAGCCAACTTGTTATAGGAAAACTTCCTCGGGCCAGTTTGCT